TCTGGGTGCCGGAGGAAGCACCACGCTTCAGGGCAAACTGGGGACCAAACTCATTCTGAGCCCTCCTTCCCTGGATGCAGCTCACAGCAGCAGAGGCGGGCTAGCTGCCAGATAACTGCCAGGTTAAGCACTGGTTTTGTCACAATGCCCATACCTCCCCCACCACAAGCACACACACCACCTGCCCCCCCCCACACACACACACACTCACACAATATACACGCCACATGCTACTGCTTCCGTGCAGGTTGATTTAGTAGAGCAGTGAATTGGCTCTGAGCAGCCAGAAAGGGAGCCCTGGTAAACCCGGCCCTGAGTGAGTGCCCAGCAAGACTGTGTCCCTGTGGCGCTGCAGGCCCCCATGGTGTTGAAGACATCAGTGACCCTGGAATCCCGAGTGAGGGGGCTGAGTTGCAGGCTCAGAGGAAGAGAATCTTCCTCAAGGCCCTACATGCTAGGACTGGGTTCTTCTGGTAGAAACATTTTCCTGAGGAGAGAAAAGATGTTGCTGATACTATAGCAAAATAAATTATTCTTTCTATCAGAAATATACTACTTTTCCTTTCTTGGGGACATGAGGTGTCTCTCTCACACAGAGCCAGTACTTCCAAGCCTGACGAGGTCTCTAGAGAAACTAAATACAAAGAGCCTTGCCCTGAGACCCCCACGGCTCTGGTGCCCAGCCCTGTAGATACCTGCAGCTCCTGGATGGAGCGTGTCCTCTGCCTCTGTGGAATCATCTGAGTAATCCAGGGAGACCAACGCTGTCATGTCTCTCATAGATGAGGAAATCTAGGCTCAGAGAGGGTGAACAGTTATCCCCAGGCCACGCGGCCAGTAAGAGACCAGCCAGTGAGGCCCAGGGCATTGTGACCGGCGCTGAGGCATGCCACTTCCCGTGTAGTGGCTGTGTTCTGTACGCGCTCTGGTTCTGCACACTGCACTCCCATATGCTCTACTCCTCTTGGCAACCTCACCTAAGAAGCTGTTTTAACTCCTTGAATCCTGCTTCTCCCAACCCAGATCCTTAAAGCCAAGCTCTGGACAATTTCAGCCCTACCCTCATTAGCTGTGTGACCTGGAGTGAGTTACTTAACCTCTCTGAGCCCCCAGTCTTCTCATCTTTAACATGGAGATAACCCTCTCTTCCCCACTACCACATAGCATGTGGCATTAAAGAGATAATGCACATGGATTTGCTCTATTGACAAAAGACTGCAGAGGATACCACCCTCCCTAAGTTGTCTCCCCAACAACTGACACATGGCCCAGGGAGGCATCGGCCCTCGCTGCCCTGGCCGGGTGCATGCCGCTGCTACAAGAGCCTCGGGCAGCCCCGCTCTGTGGCAGAGATCCCCCCACAGGCTGAGCTGCACTCAAGCTGCTGCCTAGTGGGCTTGCATCCCTGCAGGCACCTCAGAATCGAAGAGCCCTTGGCTGGGCAATATAGATGAGGGTAAGAGGGCTCTGATTTTCCCATCAGGGAGCCCAAGATAGAGCAACAGCATGGATTTCCTGTAGGGCATTTACACAGGTGGTCACTGAGGGGTTGATTTCCCCCAACCCCCGTGCCTTCTTGCATAGCCATGTAAAACACACCTCTCTAGGTAAAACTAGTCCAGAGCCATAATTACCCAATACCAGGTTCAGAATGTACCCTGCAGAAGGGTGAGGTGAAGTCCCTGCTTTGGAAACCTCACTTACTTGGGGACATAGCACAAGAAGCACAGAAGAACAAAGTGAACGTGACCTTGCATAATGACGTGCCAGGCACACTTTGGGGATTTAGGAATTAAAAGAGAGATGAAGAGGAATATCACCTTCAAAAAAACTTCATGGTGGGGGGCTGGGGAAGTCCAGCAGGTGGCATGGTGGTTAAGGTGTTGGACTCCTGTATGGCCAACTGCGGTTCGAGTACCAAACCTGGCAGTTTGTTTTCTCTCTCTCTGGTAAGCATATGTGCCCTATAGCAAATTTAAAAACAATAATAATAATAAATAAAATGAAATAATTCTTTTTATTTCTTTTTTCAGAGGTTTTTTCGCTATAGGGCGTGTGTGCTCGCCAGACAGAGAGAGACATAGAGACAGAAAGCGAGAAATCACCCCCCAGGGGGGATGGTCACGCCACAATCCCTTCTCCTCCATTCTCCTCTCAGGATCTTGGGCATGCACGCACACGCGCCTGGCGTGAATTTTAAGCCACCGGGTCCGGGACGCAAACCACGGTCGACTACGTGGAAGTCCAGCGACGTAGCCATTACGCTAACTGCTGGTTCCCAAAATGAAATAATTCTTTAAAAAAAAAAAAAAAAAAGACTTCACAGTACTCTGCAAGGATCTCCAAGAAGCCAAGACAGATGTACCTAGAGCAGGTGATGTCTCCTTTTGCATCAAAAAGACTTGGTACAGATGAGCTGCAGATGACTCAATTGCCCAGCATTTTCCAAAACCTCTTCTTTTTCTGTCTGTTTTAAGGATGGATCATCTTGAAGGAAATTCACTTTTTTTAATATTTTAAGGTATTTAAATTGTGGATTTTAAAAACAGCAAACCCTGGTTTCCTAACAGCCTCACTTACAAGTTCAGGGATTCAAATGCTTATGAAGATGGGGGAGAATAAATTAAAGGGGTAAAGACATCTGCCCATCCTGGATTCCTGTAGTTCCAGGATTCCCGGCCCTGGACATGCATTACACGTGCCCGGAGAATTTTCAAAGGTACAAATGCTGCATCCACCTAGAGACAGCAATTCCTGGTCTGGGGGCTCAGGCGACTGGATTTGTCTAAAAGCCTCCAGGTGGCTTCTAATGCACAGCTCCCTGGCAGAGCAGCTGTCATCCATGTTTGGCCTCCCGGACACCCCCTTACCCCCTGCACTTGAAGCCAATGTTCCAGATTGTCCCATCTCCCCCAAGAGTCTCTTGCCAGTGGGTCACTTCTGTCTCCCACAGAACCAGCCCTCCTCCCTGGCCATGCTGGACCTTCTGCATGTGGCTCGGGACATCGCCTGTGGCTGTCAGTATTTGGAGGAAAACCACTTCATCCACCGGTGAGTCCAGGTGACCTTGCCCTTCTTGCCGCCTTCTGTATGCTTCCCTGCTATCCAAGGGCCCGGCTCTCCTCCTTCAGAGCAGAGTGACAGGCCTTTCTCCAGAGCAGTTTGGTAGATGCTGCTTTGTCTGTCTTTGACGTAGTAATGTACTCTATCAGGGCCTCACTTGCCCCACACAAAAAACGGGTATCCTAAAATCTCCACCCCAGAGCCAGAGAGCAACGAGTTACTCTTGCCATCCTGTGGGGGCCCCTACCTGTATCTTCAGCATTCAAGTCCCATAACTTAAAGGTGAAAATCGGGCTCCTTAAGAGGAAGTTGAGGGACCTGCTGATGGCATAATGGTTATGCACTGGACTTCCATGTGGCCAACCGTGGTTCAAGTCCTGGACATGGTAGCTTGAAACTCATGCTGGGTGCATGTGCGTGCATGCCCAAAATCCCAAGAGGAGAATGGAGAAGAAGGAATTGGAGTGTGGCCATGCCCCCAGGGGGATGATTTCTCGTCTTCTGTCTGTCTAGTGAGCACATGTACCCTATAGCAAATATCTCTCTTAAAAAAAAAAAAAAAAAAAGAGGAAATTGAAGGAGTTGATGGAATTCATAATTTTTTTCTTTTAATTTTTTATATAAATTCAATCATATTATTTAGCTTACAAAGTGAACATTTCAGTATGTATGTGAACATTTCTCCCCAGTTTAGTTGATTAGAGTATCTTCCACCAATAACACCACACCTCCCCCATCCCATCAATGCTCTCTCTCCATATCCCTCTTTCAAATGTCCTTCCTTAGGTCCCTCTTCTCAACACACTCCACTTCTTTTTTTTTATCATCATCATAATCTTCTTTATATTACATTGGATTACATATAACTTTACAGTGTATTACATTGTTTTTTCAAAAGGGAATTTCATGCATGTCCGTCAGTACAGAGACATTAATCTCTCCACTTCAACATTCAATATCTTTTATATGTTTTCCCCAATCATTATTTTTATTATTCTAATTATTTTTTAAAACAGTCAATTGCTATTTCTCATTTTGCTTGTAAAAATACTTCTCAGACCAATACAGTTGAGAATACTATACATGTCATCATCAACAGTTAATAAGCCCTATCTGTTTCTCACTAACGTCCTGCCTCTCTATTGTTCACTTGCTATCTTTCTCTATCCTCTTCTCTTCACTTACCCCATTCCACACTGTCCTATTCTCATTAAGTAACTTCACTGCTTTTATGTCCTCCGATTTTTTGCTCTCTATCATAGAGTGC